TACAGCGCAGCGTGCCAACAACAAGGTGATAATCGGTTGATAGCTCTGCGCCTCTTTTAACACGAACATCTATTACTGAGCGTCTTAGGTCAGAAGATGAGATTATCAAATCGATCATCGACTTCTGTGCACAAGCTTCCCGGTATCAGGTGTACTGATGCACTTTTCGATGGTTCAAGGTTTTCATAATGGACAATCCGTTGTCTGCACAAAACCGCAACAACTTAATGCCATTATTGCTGAGGTCGCTAGGGTTGTTTTTTCCAATCACGCCGTTCTTCTTTTCAGCGTCTACTCCGACGTGCGCATATGTTGAATAATAATATCTCTCTACCTGTACCTATGGATACGAGAATTTCTGCTCTTAACGTGGACGAAACTAGCGTAGGACTGATTATTTCCAGCAGTAGTGGTGAAAAGTAAGTCTTTTGGCAACGTATTTAAGTATAGCATACCTGCATACTGCTGGCTAATACCAGATTAAGTGAGAAGTTAATTGAAAGCCAATCACTCCTAATTTTACAAGCAACGCAAATTGATATTCATAGCAGTTTTCGTCTTACCTGGTAGCCCCATGGAAAAGTTTGAAATAAGCGGAACGGCAATCAGGATGATGCTTATTAACAAATTCTTGTTGTTCACTGTTCCATTTTCTGCCTTTCTGAAATCACTGGTCGCAAGGCGATGATAGTCTTTGTGCCAATTGTGACTTTTGTATGGAAGCAGAGCCGGCTAATTTCACGGTTTCACATTTAGATAGTCTCTGGTTTGGGTACTCCGTCTGATAGACATGCACAGGAAATATAGGAACTAAACAAAATACCGTCAAAAAGAATCATTGAAATTAGACTGGTTTTATTAGTCAGGAGTCAAATGACTTTTGTCCTGCTTGACCCATGGTCACAGACTATGAGGTCGGTGCTATTAAATATTAACAATAAGAATCTACGTCAACAGTTTCTACCGACCATTTGGTTATTGACGTATTTCGTTACTGACGATCAATGATCTCGTTTGAGGGTAATAGCACTTTCTGTCTCACTAATTACCTTGTCACTAATGTCATTAAAGACTTAATGAGCACTATTTCTGTTCACCTAGACCTACAACGGTGTCTCCATCGCAAAGAAATTATAAAGATAGAAACACAGAATCACATTAGGGCAATGGAGTGTATAATCCCTAGCTACCGCAGCAAATATAAAACCTCATCATAAAATTAGAAACTATTTGCTCACATGATTGATGGTAAGTGGAGTAGACAGGATCTCATTATGCCTTTTGAGACGACTTGGTCTTGGAACAGAATACTTTGAATTCATGCACAGATGGAGGAATTTCGAAGTTCAGCAAGTGTTTGTTCTCAAAGAATGCGCAGTTAAATACTTTTCTAATGTCATCTGATTTCCTAACAGAGGATTATTAATCATTAGAATATCAACCATGAATTAAACAATACTTACCGAACTCGCATGAACTTGTTAATTAACTACTTAGTTGTTAAATAGCGCTTGCTACGTATTCTAAGCACAGGGATTAGAGTAAAGTTTATAAAATCTTTACTGACTTTAAATAAGGAAATTTTATTTAAATAACTTATAAAGTATTAAGAGTCTAAACGAATCTACTGGATCAGGAGCAATATCCCCAAAAATTTGGCGTCATAAAGTAGAAAACTGCCTGTGCGAACAGTAATAATTGCCTTATTCTTGCTCCTCGAATGACCAGCCTTCACTAGTATGAGCTTTGCGTGTTGGTTTGGAAGAGGACCCAGTGGCAATTGTGCCTTTTAGTGAGATCGATATAGGCATTTCTAACTGATACAAGACCTTGAATAGATTTAGCTACAAGTAGAGTAGAACTGTTAAAGTTAAGTGTAGCATGGTAACGAGAATTGCACTAAAGCGATGGTATAAATAACAGCCTCATATGTTCGCTTCCAGCATGGCAACATGCGGTAATCCTCATCTATCAGTAAGTTCCACAAACTGTATGGGAATTCATACCGTCTTAAGTTTCTCTGAGAGTGAATCATCAACGGGAGATCGCTTATTAATTCTTTCCTGGCGCGTGATTTCTATAATTCAGTACCTGCCTTCTGTACCGTTTCCATCTACTCTTTCGAACGGTTCCTGAATGAAAACTACAGGACGATTGCTGTGCACTAGCTCAATGGCCAGATATTAAGTCACATTCTCGAAAGTAGAGGGATTCGAGCACATGTTCGAGATAGGAACATGTACGAATACTGCGTCTTCTCTGACGAATGGAAAAATAGCTACCAAGCAGGATTTCTTATTAATGAAAATAACATGAGTAATATTGTGGAAAACACAGTGTGTAGTCTTCCACTTGACTCTTCTGTTATTTACCTAGAAGAACAAAACGCTAATAAACATAAGCAGGATTCGTATCGATAATCGTCTTATTGCCAGATCAGTACTCAATTGACCGACTTGAGGCTCTGCATAAAAAAGTAGGGAACCTCATTACTGGACAAGAGTTCAAAGTGATGTTCCATTATTTTTAAATCTAACAGATTTAATACTATTAAAATTACCGCGATCATTTTAAGAATTCTGAGTCCGTTATATTGTGAGCTTGTGTACTGAGGCAATCACATACAAAATCTCACGTATCATATTCCATACCGTAAAAAAAAGTTTCGTGAACCCAATCACTTTAGAAGTAATCGGCAAACTGCCCCTTTCAATCTTCATCATGAATATGTTTCCAAAATTTGGTTACATCGTTGTAAATCTAAGCAAAATTACATGCAAAACATTCGAAACATGGCATAAAGACTTAATGATAATTGTTAACAGTCAGTTGTCCAAAAACAGTGCCAAGAAGGCCAGAAGGAGTAACAACGCTCTGGAAGGCCGTTTTGAAGGGTTCACAGAGCTCTTGTCATCCGCAGTTGCACTTCTATTGAACACCTGACGAAATAAGACACAAAAGCAGGTGGAATCTATGGCAAGTTCAAAACTGACGATAACTGACTTAATCCACAGTGATCGTTTCATAGGAACAGAAAAAAACACGTAATGAAGTAAAAAAGCGAATCGATCATGGCTTTGATTCGCTAAACCGATTTTTGATCAAATAAACAAATCGAGCTTTTTATGGAAACAAAAAACGTAAAACAATACGTTGAATTAAATCTTCATATATGCCGCACAATGAATGGCACACAAAATCACAAGCGTAATCTACAGAGCACCTGAGAAACCGACAACAGAGAAATGAACGAACAATCAGATAGCTAGTGAAAACATAGTTAATGTTTTTGTATTACGTGGTAAAAACCATTGGGCGGTAGAAAAGAAAGTTTGCAAACTGGAGCAAAGTCTTCCTTAAAAATCAACCGTCCACCTCTTATAACAACGTCGTGCACATCCAGCTACAGCATGTGTCTACCCCAAGAATTCTTCTGTTACAAACTGTGGAATTATTCAGAAAACCAGACGTCGCAGAAAACGTCCATCGGAAAATGCTGCTTAAAGAATACTCAGGAAAGACTAAATTTTCCAACAATTCCAACGTCATCTTTCCAAAGATTAATGAACTTACGATACATGCCATTCTACTCTTCAGCAGCACTGATATCATTCTCTTCAAGAAATCTGGCTATATCACAAGGATGATTAGAACATCTTCCGCTTAGAAGACCTGGTTTGTTACCGCCTTTATCATTCCGAGAAGCTCTGGCCCGTTTGATAAGGATCCATTTTCACAATGGCTGTTTTATATTTGTTTGTTATCTGTTATATTGAGGTTATGGCAACTTATCATGTGCCTTAAAGTTAACTTAAGTAAATTTGTCTAAACAGTGCTTGCTGTTTATAACTTAATCCCATCGTCCCGTAGCAGAGAAGGTAGCAACCAAACGTTATGTAGAAAAGTAGAATGCAAACTGCTGAAGTGATAAAGCTACCGCTAAGGTCGGTCATGAATGTTGAAACGGTTTACTAAATTACTCTAATGATCAGAGTTGAGATTATCCTCCTAACGCGGCAGCATAGTGGCACAGAGATCGGTTCCGAACTTCAGACGTACTGGTTCGAATTAGTAGAAAGGAACAATCTGTACTTATCTGCGAATATTTCGAATATCTGTCAATATTTTTATTTCCGTACATCCATCAATTACTTCCATCACTATCTACATACAAGGTTATTTTGAACGTCGATAGCAATGCCGGGGATCATGAGAAAAGTAACGCCCTAATCAGCTCTATGATAAGCAAGCACAATTAAGCGCGCGTCCATAATATTGATAGTTTCTCCTTGGTGGCCCACTCTGTTCGACTTGCAATGAACGGTACAGAAACACAGATCAGCTTGCCGAGAAGGTGGTCAAACCGTTTATCTGTGATGACGTCACTGCAGTTGCCCGCTTGACTTATTCACAAACATTTTCCGAAAAATCACACACCAAGTCTCCGTAGTACGCTGTCACAGTCTTCAATTTGTTGTTCAAAATATTCTGTTCAACTTCCACATAGTCACCATTTTTTTCTAGTTCAGTGAGCTAAAGAACAAGTTGCAGCATCAATAAAAACTGACTAACTGACTCTCTCACTCACTCACTCACTCATTCACTGAGTGACTCACTCACTCACTCACCCACTCACTCACTCACTCACC